ATTGTGATGAGTTGTATGAGCCCCTAATAAAATGATTATTTAAAAAAAAGAGAAAATACAATATTTTATTTTTCCACTAAGTGACATCTTTTGCAGATCTGCTGCAAGATCAGCATGATCTCTTATACATTTATTTATGTACATTCTGTATGTTTAGCTACGATCTACAATAAACAGCAACAAGAGTTGTATGCATTTAACTAGAAAATAGAAAAGCAAATAAAATACAGTATTACCATTCTTTGCCACCCAAAACACCATAGGAAAGCTTAAAACAGTTAAGGTAGTAGGAAAACAAGCTTACATTTATTTAAGTACATGCACTGTAAAATAACAATTACAGGGAGAATAAAATCTAAAAAAACCCCCACAAACTTTGGAGACAGAAGGAAAAAATATAATAATTACCTCTTCCTCAAGTCTGCCATCTCGCAAGGTAGGAGGTATCCCTGGGTGCTTGGCTACTAACAGTTCCATTAAGTTATGGGTAGCATGAAGTCTCTACAAACACACAAGAGAAGGCAATAATTATAACAGCCAATGCACTGACTCTGAAGAGAGAACCTACTATTACTATGGCATGCAAAGCAGTAGTGTTACCTTAAGACCAGATCACTGAACCCAACTTTTGTTCTAACACAAGTTGGGAACAGACTGTTCTCAGGAGAAAATGGAATCCTGTTTTATAGCATAGGTATTAATTCATAATGGCATGAACATTCTTCAATTAATCATATAGTCTTAAGTATAGCTATGCATTGGTAGAATATGCAAAATCGATTCATTTCTTTTGTTTTACAAGCATCTGCCTATATATAGACAGCTATGACTACGTCACATCATTCCAGTGAAGTAGAAAGGCTTACACCACAAGCTTGATTCTGTCTCTCTTTGGAAGTGTATAAGCTCATCAATTATCATAAAAATAAGTGTCATAAATTAAATAAATAGACGGGACTGTGACCTAGACCTGCTGGATTAAAAAGGGCTGAAAGGGGAGGAGTTGGAAAATGGGGTAGAATTGGGTGAAAGGGGGGTTAAGTCCTCTATCTCTGAAACAGAAGCTTCCCACTGTTATTAGAGGCTCCTTCTGGAGTCAAAGTCGCCCTGATGGTGTAGTGGTTACATGTTGGTTCACTAACTGAAAGGCCAAAATTGTGAAACTAGCTGATCCACAGGAGACAGACAAGGCTTTTTATTCCCAGGGTCTTGGAAACCCATCGGGGCAATTCTACCTATTCTATATGGTGGCTATGAGTCAGGGTCAACTGAATAGCAGTTTCTGGAATCAAGGAGCCCTGGTGGCATAGTGGGTTACATGTTGGGCTGCCAACCACAGGTTGGTGGTTCAAGCCCACTAGCTGCTCCTTCAAAGAAAAATGAGGCTTTCTGTTCCCATAAAGATTTACAGCCTCAGAAACCAATCGGGGAAGTTCTACTCTGTCCTATAGCTTCATTAAGAGTCAGAACTGATTCAACTGTAGTGAGTTTGGTTCTTTTGAGTTTCTGGAGTCAAGGGCTATGAGAAGGAATAAAGTAAAAGTAATTTGGTCCTCATTGTTAACTTAATTTCTTATTTAGGAAGATCATCAAGACTAAATTATGATCAAAAAAGGGTTTTTTGGTAAGATCTGAGTCAATGTCAGTGATTTGAAGTCTTATAAAAGTTTGTTTTGTTCAACCAAAGATGATGCATTGAAAATTCACTTCAAATATCCTAGATTTTTTTCAATAAGGCTTCATAAACATAATCAGTACCGCTAATATATTTAATAGCAACAACAAAAATGCAATTGCTGTTCAGTCTGAATCCATCTGTGGCAGTTACATAATCTCCTGTTCATTTGAGTTAAAGGGTAGAGTCTAGCCCAGGGGTTCTGAAACTATGGCTTGCCGAGGACATTTATCTGGCCCCGCCAGGTGTTTTTTTACTTCAAAATAAGATATGTGCAGTGTGCATAGGAATTTGTTCAGTTTTGTTTTTTTTTTTAACTATAGTCCGGCCCTCCAATGGGTCTGAGGGACAGTGAACTGGCCCCCATGGCTCGCCGAGGACATTTATCCGGCCCCGCCAGGTGTTTTTTTACTTCAAAATAAGATATATGTGCAGTGTGCATAGGAATTTGTTCAGTTTTGTTTTGTTTTGAACTATAGTCCGGCCCTCCAATGGGTCTGAGGGACAGTGAACTGGCCCCCTGTTTAAAAAGTTTGAGGACCCCTGGAGCCTGTCAATCAGATCATAGTCAAAGAGGTCTCTGTGTGGGCATGGCCTTCTGAGGATTCTGGATTTCCTTTAACCCTCCCTGGAGGCGGGCCACACACTCTGCTACACATTCCTGTTGACAAGCCACATGGAGACACACCGACTGAGCCAGAGCCCTGGAGCTGGAGGAGCCACGTGGAGACTCCAGTGCTGAATACTTCCACTGCCACAGGATCTCCAAGACTTTCCACCCACTGGCCTGTGATACTCCTGCATTAGGATTCATTGCATGGCTGTGTGGGTCTAAAGAGGAATTTATGGAGTAGTATCAGACATGTGGGTTAATATCAGACTTATGGACTTATCTGGACTGGGCTGGTAATTTTTCTCAATATAGAATTGCTCTTTTATATAAAGCACTTTCTTATACACGTGTCTATGAATCTGTTTCTCTATAGACAACCTGGACTAACACACCATCGTTGTAGCAACTGTGCCAATCGATCTTGTCAAGGGTCTTCCTCTCTTTTGCTATCCCTCTTCATTCACTACCAAGCATGATAGCCTCCTCAGGGCACAGATCTCTCTTGGTAACATGTACAATGTAAGTGAGGCAAAGTTTCACCATCTTCACTTCTAAGGAACATTCATTCTGGCTGTACTTCTTCCAAGTCTCTTTCTACCACCTTACATGTTTTCCTTCCAAGAGAACAGACTGGATAGCCTGGTCAGACATTCAACAGACCATGTTTTCAGAAAATGGGGTACTGCGACTCAGAAGGAAAAACCAGGCTGGCTGCTTACTCTTTACTCTTGAGTGGTTTGAAACCAGGCATACTGGACTTGTCTACCGTCTTGCTCACACATCTACCTTTGTTTTCTTGTGCACTTTCTCCTCTCATGAGTTTAAGGCCTAAGATCTGTCTTCTGTAATCCTTATCCAGGCAGAACTTAAGTAGACTTGCATTTGAATTCTCTCCCTTCCTCTATCTGAATCCCTAATCGGAAGTGAAGCAATGTGAATATGTGGGTCCCAAAGCCTGGCAATATAAATAGTAAGCAAAAAGCCTAACTTGGAATATAAAACTAAGCTTGCCAAAATTAATGAATACTGTTTATACTTGAGTATAAGGCAATCTAAATATCTGTCAAGGCACCTAATTTAACCACAAAAACTGCATTAAAATGTGCTGAAAAGCTCGGCTTATACTCGAGTATATACGGTAAATGGTCTTTATTAACCTATAGCATTGTATATAAGAAACACTGGACTACACCACGATAGGGAAGGAAAGTAAGTACCCTAGATACTCATGGACAAGCTGAGTTTTCCAGCACATTTTTAATGCAGGTTTTGTGGTAAAACTAGGTGTCTCGGCTGATATTTGGGTAGGCTTATACTCAAGTATATATGACATCATAATTCAAATATCTAAATCCCTCTAAATTAGCTCTAAATATTAGTTAATTGTTAGATTTTATTGCTTTTAATTTCTAATTATTTTCTTTAACTTTTCACTTTATTTTACTTCTGTATTTAGTACCACTGCTGGATATATAATTCAATTTTTTTCTTTTGGTAATAACTATGTGATTAAATATGCTGATATTCGGATGCAAAAGTGGTAAAACTGATTCATGTTTTGAAGTATAACTGCTTTTATTTTTATACGGTTGGCTTTATAATTCTATCTTGTCAACTTGTGACCAATACTGTCCTGAACAAAGACACACTTGTGATCTGGAAACATTTGAACAAATACATACACCTCACCTTTTGCACTCATTAAAAGGGCTGAATCACAAACTTTATCCCCAAAGATGAGGAGTCAGCTCATTTGGACTCTTTGTCCTCCCAAATATTGAGAAACACTATTTGGTAGCAGTCAGTTAAAACACTGATTTGAAGTTGTATAGTTTGACTTACTTGGAGTGAATCCGTTTTGAGTTTTCCTTTGTGTTCCTCAGACGAACGCAGCACCTCTCTGTATAGATCAGCTGCCGAGGCATGCTCACCTGAAGGGTTCGATGCATTTCAAGGCCAAGAGTCAGGTGTTAGCTCTGAATGCCATCTACTCTCTATTAGATAGGTATACCATTGTAAACTATAACTTAAGGTTCACAACTCACTATACGCCCCCCCCGCCTTTTTTAAAGAAAAAATGGCCTTTATGAGGTCTGAAATTACAGGTTTAGGGTCACTAAAGACATTTATAAACAAATCTTTAAGACACACACTAAACTTTCAGTAAAATAACATTCTCTTTTTAGTTGGCATTGCTTTCCTTGGTATTAGACCTCAAATTATGTGCATTGAGTGCTATATAAAAATCTAAATCATTATTCTTTACATACAAATCACAAGTCTGAGATGTGTGCATCTTATATTGTTTGTTCACTGGCAGCTCACTCAAAACCAACTATTTAAATTATTCAAAAGTACCAATTAAAGCACAGGTTAGCAATCTATGGCATATAGGACCAATCTAGTCACCATCTGTTCTTATCTATCCCACAAGCTAAGAGTGGTGTGACATTTTTAAATGGTTGGGGGGGGGGGGCAGGGAGAATCTAAGTAGAAAAATATTTTGTGACCTGTAGAAAATGTTGTGAAATTGGAATTTCAGTGACCAGAAATTGGAATTTCAGTGACCAAGAATAAAGTTTTACAAACGATATTGAGGGCTAAAGTAGAGGGCAAGTGTTTTGAGATTGATGAGGGCAACAGGTGTACATAGGTGCTTGACTCAATGGATGTATGTATGGACTGTGATAAGTAATGTACGAGTCCTCAATAAAATAATTTTTTAAAAAAAGAATGAGGGTAACAGATGTAAAAATGTGTTTATACAATTGATGTATGTATGGATTGTGATGAGTTATATGAGCCCCCAATTAAAAAAAAAAGAATAAAGTTTTATTAGCACTTAGTTGTGTCATTTGTTAATATACTGACCCTGGATAACTGAGGCTAACTTATTTGCTGCCTGAAGAAAAACTGAAATGCTAGAAATATATACAGTGAAAAGTATACTGTAATTGTAGCAAAATCATGAAACACAGACACAAAAGGTACACATATGTTTTAGTGTCAGCTTGCTGAGGGCAATGCTTCCTGATCATTTTACACACATTTTTATGCTGTTGCTTTAAATCTAGTTCTAGCAGCTACTAATAGAAAGCTTCCTAAAACACATATTTTTACAGGTCTTTATAGTCAGCCAGATTCCACTCACTTTCCTGAGGGAGATTATTTTCATAATAATAAAACATTATAATACAAGAGTAACACTAGGTATCAGTTGCACAATTAGTTGTTTCTGTTTAATTTTGAAGATTTTTGACTCAAGTTTTTCAAAAGTTACATGGATTCTATTAGTATTTATACTAGCCTTTGTGACCAAGTCAAGTAGGTTACTCACTGGGCAGTTAACCACAAAGTTAGCAGTTCGAAACCACAAACTTCTCGCAGGGAGAAAGATGAGGCTTTTTATTCTCATAAAAATTTAGTCACGGAAACCCATTGGGGCAGTTCTACCCTATCTCATAGGGTTACTATGAGTCTAAATCAACTTGATGGCAGCAAGTTTGGAGTATATAGGCCAATTTAAAATTATTCTCTATTATTACCATCCCTTTTAAGGTAGGTGCAGTAACTAAATTAGAATATAAGCAGCTGAATTTGAATTACTATCCTAAATTATCCTATATTTTTCTTTTTAATGTTTGCTAAAAAAAGACCTGTTCTCTGAGGGGGAAAAGAAAACAACTCTACAACATGTGCATATCTAATACGTTATGCAAGTCTGAGCCAAATTTGGGAATACCCCTTCTTAGCCACTTGATGGCACTAGTATTTCCAAGTTAACAAACTGCTAGGGATTTCATATCACCAAGTTGTTTCTCTCCATAAACATTTACAGAAAACAAGGCATTCAAAATTGGAATACCTGTGTTTGATGATATAGTCAATGAGGAACTTAAAAGTAAGCAAGTATTTCTGGTGCTTGGAGCGAACTTTTGATTCCTTTCAGAAATCAGATTTTCACTAGAAGTCTGATCTACACACTGGAATAGGGCATATCCTGTCAGAAAGGACACAGCTCGTATTACAGGGCTCGCCGGTAAGGATATATCCTCACAATGCAGCCAGAGTCAGCGACTGTGGCGGGAATGCAAAGAGCTCTGGCGCATTTCCTGCTGGTCACTGACACGACTCTACAGTCCTTGGGAATGGACGATGCATAGCATTTTGCCCAAGTCCCTCCATCGTGTGTACTTTCACAGCAGGGACATGGTGAAAATAAATGGGAAAAGAAGACACCAGAAAAAGCCGTGTGAAGCATTCACTCACTGTCCAAACTCTGGAGTCATAACAACATGGGAGAAATGCAGTTAGTAATTTTCATTACCGTGAAAATCTGTCTACAAAATCTATCTACTACTCCACTGAAGAGTGAGTTCCCATCTCTTATAAATAGCACACTGTGTGTTTTATAAATGCCCATTTGATAAAAAAAAGCATAGTCTCATAATAAAAAGAAATAAAATATTTCACATGAAGCCTTTAAAAAGATCAAGGGCAAATTCATTACTCTTCACTTGTCAGCTGTCATCTTGAAAAAGTAACTAGTCTTTTTAAAAGTTGTTTCTCCATGAAAAATAGGGATGTTATGTCAATAATTAGGCAATTATGAGAATTACATCGAATACATTACATGAGCATTATGTAACATAAAACGCAAAAAAAGATCACTTTTCAGCTATGATGTTGAATTTTAATGGCCTTAAAATACTTTTAAATTCATATTTTACATTTATAATTTATAAATTTAAAAGTAGATCTCATTATCATGCACAGTATTTCTTATTTATGACGGTTAATTACTCTATAGTTTTCAACTGCAATTATTCTCCTCAACTAATTCAGGACTTTGAGAAACAAGTATGATACTTATTTCCTAATTTTTCCCTAGTCACAGCCAATGATGTAAAGACAAGCCTAAAGCAATGTCTTTTATTTCGAATCCTCTGCTTCAGAATCGCTTTGTTTATTTAACCTTTCGCTTGTACTGTACAGGTCCTCTGAAGTTGAGCACAGTCAGAGGGCACACTTGGCAATAGAAGAAGTGGTGAAAATGATGGAAATCATTAAGGCTCATGAGAGAAGATGCAAACTTGTGAACACCGCTAACAAATTGAATATTTTTTAGGGAACACTCTAGAGAAGATTTGCTCACAAAGACGTTACATGTGCTATATTTGACTAGTGCATATCAGGAATATACAGTAATATGCCCGTTTCTTCTTGTAATTAGATAATAAAATCTGCAATGTGAACACATGAAGTGGCAAGAATCTGAGGTCTCTTTATAATGCCATAATCAACATTATTCTTCATTTGTATATTTTGAAATAATTTTCAAAGTATTTCCACTTTCCCTTCATACTAAGAATGATACTTTGAGGGAGAAAACTCTGGTTCAGAAACCTTGAATAATATAGTCCAGTTCACAGTAAGAACAGAACTACAGCAGATCGGGGTCCCCCATCTTTTTAATTTGCGTTTAGAGTTCCTTCTACTCTGCTTCTGGGAGTCTTTCTCAAGTCATCACACTAATCAAGTAGCCAGGACAATAATAGACACTTTCTACTTCTTACTCTTTCACTGAAGAGCTAGTAAATAAAGACAGGAAACACAGTCCAAAAAAGCTTCAAATATCTCCTTATACTCTACAAAAAGCACCCATTTCTCTGGGCAATGATTTCTTTCAAATCTTATAAAGTTCATGAAAATAGTGGTAAATTCTCTCTATAATATGTGCACCCAACCAAACTGATGCATTAGAAGCTTTGCAGAAAGATTGAAGGAACTGGCATTTATCATCAAATGCCTTTCCAATTGTAACACTGTAACAGATAACTACTCTACAGATTCTATGAAACATGAATATAGAATTGCTTGTATATAAAAAATAAAAATGCTTTAATATATATTATTTCACCATTATAAAATACTTATTTACATGATTTTAAAAAGTTCTCCTCATTATACAAAGAATAAAATTCAATGATCTATACTAGAACTTTAAGAGTTTTTTAAAAAATCGCCTTTAATATATCTATCACAGTAATTTCTTCACTACTGCAAGAAAAACTCCAAAACCAAACTCACTAAATCAATGCTGACTCATAGCGACCCCCGGTTGGTTTCCGAGACTATACCTGTTTATGGGAGTAGAAAGCCCTGTCATTCTCCAGGAAAGCTGCTTCTGTTTTCAAACTGCTGACCATATAGCTTGAAGCCCAACAAATAAGAAAGCACCCAAGAATTATCATGGCATATAAGGTACAAATCTATTACGGTCTCCTAATGTAAATTCAAACTTCAGTGATAGAAGTTTTTACTGAAAAATATCATTTAATGACTCATTAAACTTAAAATTGACTCTTGACTTCATAGGGTCAGAAAGGTTATCAGAATTATAAAGAAAGTATAGAATAAATTTCTGCAAGGATGGATGGTTCTAACACAAGGCTAGCAGCTCTGAGATAGCTTCCAGTTGACTATAAAAATAAGCAGAGGACATGGAAATGGATCTAAAAAAATAAATATGGTAACAGAAAGCTACTTAAAAAAAACCTCATAATAATAAAACATAAGAATTAATTTCTGTCAAATACAAGAATTCATTTCACTGGCGATAATTCTTTCTTAGTTGACACTTTTTCCGAGGCAAGCTACAACCTCCAAATTTTTGGTGCTATTCATAAGAACTACTTTCAGTTAGATTTTGCTGGAAGAGGGCATTTATGACCACTTATATATATATTTTTGGAATAGTTGTTAAAATAACTCTGTTCTCTTATTATTATAAATATCCTACCAGTATTGGTGAAAAACTACAAAATATCAAAAAATACTACGAAGTAAAGAAAAAGTAATCACAATTCTACCATAAACAGACAATGAGACAATATGACCTAGCACCTTCTTTTATCCAATTTTAATGTCTCTCTCTCACACACACGCAATTTCTTCATTAAAGCACGATATAATTCTACATAGTCTTACAACTTATCTTTTTAGAGCAGTGTTTATTTGGGATGCTAACCTCAAGGTCAGCTGTTCAAAACCACCAGCTGTTCTACAGAAAGCTGAGGCCTTTTATTCCCACAAAGGGGGCAGTTCTCTGTCCTATAGGTTTGCTGAGTCAGAATTGACTTGATGGCAGGAACTTTGGTTTTTTGAATGAATTATAAGTGACTAAAATAAATTCCACACACTTATTTCTGTAATCTAAGTTCTGACATATGTATCCTCCATGAAACATCACAATCAAGATCATGAACATATCCGGCACCTTTATGATTCTAGGATTCCTTTATAAGTCCTTATTCTATTCCTGCCTCTCACCCCACTATCTTCGTGCAATCACCAGTCTGTTTTCTGTCACTATTGTTTGCATTTTCCAGTTTTCAATGTGTCAAAAGTTAAACATTCTTCTATGTCTAGACATTCAAAATGTTTCAGACAATAATGAGCATTTAGAATGCTACTCATATCCTGGTATCCCTAAGAGATAGCTCTGCAAAGAGAATTTGGTCAAAGCACAGGTGACATTTTTGAAATAAAAGGAACCAACATAAATTGCTATCAGGAATGTGTGAGAGCACCTTTGAGGGAATATTTTTAATTTTTACTACAATGAACCTTCCTTAGAGAGAGCACATAAACGAACCAGAGATAACAAAGCAATCACCTTCTACCTTTAATGATGTGGATGCCTGCTAAACCATTGAGGGCACAGACTAGTTGCCGGTGTGCTTCTTCACATTCAGTTCCACATTTCTTCTGCAAGGATATCAGCAGTTCTTCCATTGTCATGGTGCTAAAAGAAAACGCAGATGGCTCAAAACTAGAAAGAAAATCCTGAGTGTGATTTCAGTATGAGGGATGTAACGCATGAGACTTCCCAAAGGCTCTGCACCTTCTCTTCATCTCCGTTTTTGTTTTGTTTTTTCCCCAACTGAAGGTGAAGATGAGCTTGCTTTCAAGTAACTTGCAGCAGGTTAGTGTCAGGAAGAAGGAAGGTGGGATTGGTAGCCAGCTTTTTTACTTCTAAGACCACATGCTGTCTCCCCAGCTTTAGTCCCAGAAAAGGATGAGGCCCTGGGAAATACCCTTCACCTCCGTTTTTTTCCTGATTGTTTTTCCTTTTTTAAATCATTTTGTTGGGGGCTTGTGCAACTCTTAAAGCCATCCATCCATCGTGTAAAGCACATTGGTACATTTGTTGTCATCATCATTTTCAAAACACTTTCATTCTACTTGAGCCCTTAGCACCAGTTCATTTTCCCCCCTCCTTCCCCCATCCTCCCTCCCTCATGCATCCTGGATAATTTATAAATTATTATTATTTTCACCTCTGTTTTTACAACAATCATCCAACTGGTTATTACCACTTCTTCTTTAGCAAGCAAGCAATCATTTGATTAGTTCTGCTATTTTAAAAAATATTTTCCCCCCACTATTCATTCTTAAACATCTCTCCATTTCAGTCTGTACTAGAATGAAACAAGAAACCAACTCTTCCTCAAGTGCAATACGATGTTAGAAACTGTATGGATATAGGATGTAAGACTGTATGTGAATCTTAATCTTACTGGCTTATTTAATCTCTTAAGACTAAAAATTGTTTTACCTGTAAAACATGATGCTCTGCCAAGCATCATGTCAAATGACACCTTAGCAAATGACTTAACTAATGAATTAAAAGGAGTTTCCTACTTTAATTATCCTTAACAGTTTATATGTATTTCTTGTGAAATTGATCACTTTGCCTTATAAGAAATCTATCTTACTATCGCCCTTGTCTGTAAACTGCTTGAGAGCAAAGACAAAATCAAATTCCTGCTTATATTTCTTATAGCACCTACAAGGGTATCATTCTAATACCAGGTGCTATAAAAAGATCAAGTGCAATGTCATAGTCTGATCCACAAAGCAATTCCTGAGACAATACAGTATTGTGGGCATAAACGATTCAATGTTTTCAGAATGAAAAATCAAAAAGATATAGTCACCATAATGATAAAGAAAATATCTCAATGTTAGAGGAAAATATTGAATGGTTCCCCTGATGTGGGAACCAAGAAATGAATAATAAAGGAAAAAATACTTTTCATAGTTGAAGGGTAGCAATAAAAAAAAAATCTGAAGAAATGTTTAAAACCATTAATAAAATATTGGTGATGTGATTTTTTTCCCATCACAAGTGGAATTAACAAAGAAAAATTACCAGACTACCAATAATTGCCAACAAATCAATGATGAGCATGACAGTTTTGTGGTTAAAGATGACACCCTATCTCAAAAATGGATACTGACTTGCTAGAAAGTGAGAGGGAAATGGAGAGTAATTATCAGTGTGATAGCTCACTTAATGAGACTGCTAAATTTCAGTTTAATATAAAGATACAAGGTTTAATTTTTATAATTTGCAGTTTATATGATTATTTCTACATCTCATGAGAGATGTAGAATAAAGACAGAAAGACATACACCTTAAAGTGGAGAGGGGCAAAAGAAGATTAAAGTTGCTTGGTGATGAGACAGATATATAAATTTCTTTTAATAATTCCCATTTCTTCAATTCACTGAGGAGCTCTTAAATGATATTTCCTTTTTTAGTATTTATACAAATGCATAGTCTCCTATCTGGTCTTGGGGTAAGTAGAAAATTAAACAAGATTGTCACAAATAACTTATTTTAGTCGATTCCTATAAAGGACTGCCTACATATAAGGGGTATGAGCAGAAAAGGGTTTAAACAGTCCTGAGGGCTACCTTAAAAGGCCTGCTTTAAAGCTGGCCCTTGGCTGGCCTCTGAGAACTTCCATTTGGAGAAAGCTCTCGTCATTCCCTGTGTGGCTTGCTGTGCCTCAGTGTTTGTACAAATAATACTATTTCAGTAGAACTCCAACTTTTTTTCTGGGAGTTCAGAATTTTAATACAGTCCCCACCAAAAACTGTACTGAATTTCGAATGCACTTCCCTGGTTGGAAACATTTCACACATACTGACATCTCATGTCACTGTTGAGGAATTAATCATGACTACGGGACTCCACTGAAAGATGCCTGAGCCTGGATTCCCCCAGACTTTGTTCCATGTGCCTCTTCCCTCCACTGGCTGTGCCTGGTATTTTTTCCTTGTAGTAAATCACAGAAAGAGGACTTTCCCAAGGGAATTAATGACCTTGAGGTGGTCTTGAGGACCTCCAAAAAGTGTTTCCCCACTATCCCTATAATTTCACTCAGTATCATAAGTAGTCTTTTCTTCTTCTATTTGCTAGGTGATTATATTCCAGAAATATAACAATAGTTTTAATCTATTCCTGGTGCATTTTAGAGGCACATTATGTTTAACAACCCAGGCTACCTAGTATTTTCCTGTGGTGGGGTAGAGGGTTAGGCCTAAAGACATTTCTGTCTGCTCTATTTTACTCCTTCTTCATAACGATGAAGTAAAACGCTCATGAATGATCATGCTACTGGATCTACCTCTTCCCTGCTGTGCTGGAAGTTACAGCTGCCTGATACTAATGACAACAACCTTCCCGATCCCTCACTGTGTTCTCTGGGAAAAATATGAGTAGAAATCATCAAGGTCTGTGGAACTGGCCCAGAAAAGGAACAGAAATCTACATACAACACTGCATACAGAAGAGATGCCATGGAGCACACTAGATTAGTATGCGAGACCAGCTCAGCATACTTTCTTGGGCATCAAAAGCATGTGAATTTGAGCTTAACTCTGCCATATTGTGACCCTGAACAAATGAATTCACAGCCAACCTTCAGTTTTCCCCATTTGCAAAGACTAAACAATTTAGTGCATACAAAGTGGTTACTCTAGTGCCTGGCACATAACAGCTAACATTTCCTGTGTGCATACAAACATTAGTAGGCTTGCTAGTATACGGCTTACGCTTTGGGCTGTTAGCCACAAGGTCAGCAGCTTGAAACCAATAACTGCTCTATGGGAGAAAGATGAGGCTTTCTATTCCAGTAAAGAGTTAGTCTCAGAAACCCACAGGAGCAGTTGTAAGAATGATAACATCAGTAAATCACATAAGGCAACGTGGAGTGTTGTGTACACATATTACTAGTGGTAAGATGTATCAAATAACCGACAAAAATATTCCATCTGCATCCTAAGTATGTCTTTTCTTAACTCAAATCCATCACAAGTTTGGCACCTGTGGAAGTTTTAGGACTAAAGTTTAAATCTATAACTTTCACCTTTTGTTTTATAGCTACTTTATTTTCTGCTAGGCAAATTTTACTGCCAATGAGTTTCCAAACCTTAGTAAATCTTTATGGGGGCAGAGATTATCTTTCTTACTAGGAGCAGCTTGCAGGTTTGAACAACCAACCTTTTGGTTAGCATCCAATGCTTTCCCAAAAGTGCCACCAGGGCTCCTTAAAGGAGAGTCTAGTATTTTTAAGTCCTCTGGGCAGTAACACTGTAAAATGTTTCTTAAGGAGGCCATAGAAAATAAAGACAACACAAGTGTTATTCATACTATACAATGATAACTAGCAAGTGGCCATTTGGTGTCATATCAGTAACTGAAAATGTCCTGTTGTATCAAGTTCAATAAGCATTCTTTATGATATTTTAACAAATCTCCCAAGTAGAAACTCAACATTTCTAACATAAGAGGATCAAAGGTAGCAAGTCATTCATGGAAATGCACTAAGATCTTAGTCAAATGCTATTCACTTAAGTTTATAAGAAAGACAATAACATTTCTAAGCTAAAGAATCTTCGAATGTTTAAAAAAAGTTTTTCTTTGCTCTAAGTGATAGTTTCCCAAAACTATTTGGCCTATAATCCCCCTTTCAGAATAAAATTTACTCTGGATCCCCCTGGCAATAAAAACTTTTGTACACTAGTCCAAAGAAGCCCTAATGGCGTAGTGGGTTACGTTTTGGGCTTCTAACCATGAGGTTTTCTACTTCCATGAAGAATTACAGCCTCAGAAAGTCACAGAGGCAGTTCTACCCTGTTCTATAGGGTCGCAGTGAGTTGTTGGGTTTTTTCTTGAGTACAGGATTAAGTGTATAATCTGTTTTTGCAGCACCTTCTGGACCACTCTAGGACCCCCCACCAGGGGACGGTTTCTCTCATTGTAACATTAATAGTTTTATTGACATAAAACTCAATAGTTTAGTACCTTAAAAAGAGTTTGGGAGTGGGGAGGGGGGAGGAGGGGAAAAAAGGAAAATGAGCTGATTCCGGGAACCTAAGAGCAAAGAGAATTTTGGGAATAATGAGGGCAACAAATGTATAGGTGTGCTTTACACAATTGACCTATGTATTGTGATGAATTGTATGAGCCCCAATAAAATGATTAAATAAAAAAAAGTTTTAAGATCAACATCACAATAAATTTTAGAACATTTTCTGCATTCTTGTACTCATTATTCTCACTCACTAGCAACCCTCATGGATTTATGAGATTATAACTGTTTATGAGAGTAGAGAGCCCAGCCTTTCTCCTGAGGAGCTGCTGGTGACTTTGAACTGCCGACCATACAGATTACAGCCCAATAACCACTACACCACCTTGGCTCCATGTACTCATTACTTCTAAAAGGATAGGTAGACAGACACTAATTTTTAAATTCTCTAATAAAACAATTTAATAAAACAAAGACTCAATACTTGAATCTTACTACAGTTAAAAAAACAAAAGAAAACTCTTAAGCTTTCCAATGTTGGTTTGCTCATCAAAATAACCCTTTTAATAGTAGTAGAAGGCTTTTCTGCCTACTCAGTCTGTAACTCAGAACCAACAGATCTCTACTCCAGAAGCAATTCTAAATACCAGTCCGGGCATCACTATTATTCAAGAACACGGGTAGCCCAATTTTAATTATGCTTCAGTATTAAGTTAATACTAGCTGTACTTTTGGCCATCGAGGAAGCCATATGATTTAATTACTTCAACTATGATTTTACTATTGATAATAGTATAAGGAACTAATTTTAAAACCTTTTCTGGAGTGGCAAGAACTCTCCTCGGACAGCCTGTGGGTGGCAGCAGGCCTGCCTGAGCCTTAGCAGTGGATATAGGATGGAGGTGACCGTCCGCCTGTCCAGGCTGCTGAGCTTCAGAGCCCAGTCAGAAATCTTCCTGAGCTTTGCCACGGCATCCTGGCAGCACACCTCATGCTGGCGGTGATAGAAATGCCTCTCCACTGGAGCAAAGTGGAGCCAGTGAGTTTCTTCCGTCTGAGGTGGTATCTGAATCTGCAGTGAGGAGAAAAAACGGGATTTCATCTGAAATTACAACTTCCCACTCCAACTCTGCTGCTTTGTTTCTTATGACATCCTTAGTAAATGAAAAATTATCCTACTGACTTGGTCAATCACATCTTTTTTTGCAGACCTCCATAGTATCTTGGCAATAAAGCTGTAGAGGGGCTGAGGATTCTTCTTACAGTAAGGACGGTATAGAAGTCGGACCCACCAGTGTCTTATACAGTAAGGTTCAATTCCAAGAAAGAGCACCAACCCATAAAGATCTGAAAAACAAGAAGAAACCCCTTAATTTTAGTTGCTTCTCAAAAGAACAGTGTATGATCCCCATCCACTGACCACAACTGTGGAGTCTATTTCCATGCTTACGGGTCCTATAGGACAGAGCAGAACTGTCCCATAGGGTTTCTAAGGGCGTAAACCTTCACAGAAGCAGACAGCCACATCTCCCCCTGCCTTCCACTCACCCAGCAAGTGGATGGTGTGTTCAAATTGTCAACCATTTGGTTAGCAGTCAAGTGCTTTTAACCATTATGCCACCAGGGCTCCTTTGGATGATGCCAAGTATCCTGTGGATATGCCAAGTACATATGTAGAGTAGGCAAATGCATCATTAGTGACGAACTATCAGAAAGGGTCGAAGGGGGAAATAGAGAAACAGTACCTAAGGTGTACTAAGTTTTTATTAAGGGTGATGAAAATATTTGGGAATAGAGAGCAGTCATGGTTTCACAATTTGGTCAACGTATTTAATGCCATTGACATATATGGTTGAAATGACCTATGTTTTGTAATGTGTATGCAAATAAAATTGAAATGTTATTTATAAGTAATTTTTAAAAGAGGGTTTGAATAGTCACCTTTGCAGGCATTATATATCACAAACTTACATTTATTATGTACTTGCTCTAGGTTCTGTGTTAGGTTCTTGAATGCTGTAGTTTAAAAAAATCAGTACACAAAATTTATCCTTGGTTCAAAAGTCTAAAATTTCCAGGAGAGAGACATAGAGTACTATGTTCTAAAGCTAACAAAGATGAGACTAGTGAACTGGGGAGCAGGAGGAGGTAACAGAAGAACATTCTCTGGTTCCTCAGACTCTTTGATCTAGTACATCTACCTCCAAGAAATAAGATTAAGACAGGCATCAAATAAATACAGAGATTGAGAGGGGTCTCAGGGAGGAGATGAGCCAGTCAGGGTGCGATATAAGAATAACGAAAAATACAACTTTCCTCTAGTTCCTAAATGTTTCCTCCCCGCTCCCACTACCATGACTCGAATTCAACCTTGCAAGTCTGGCTAGACCAGAGGATGTACACTGGTACAGATAGGAACTGAAAATCCAGGGAATCCAGGGCGGATGAGCCCCACAGGACCAGTGGTGTGAGTGGCAAAACAGGGAGGGTAAAGGGAGAGTGGGTAGGAAAGAAGGAACCGATTACAAGGAACTATATGTGACCTCCTCCCTGGGGGACGGACAACCAAAAAGTGGGTGAAGGGAGACGTCGGACAGGGCAAGATATGACAAAATACCAATTTATAAACTATCAAGGGCTCATGAGGGAGGGGGGAGCGAGGAGAAAAATGAGGGCCTAATGTCGGGGGTTTAAGTGGAGAGAAAATGTTTTGAGAATGATGTACAAATGCACTTTACACAATTGATATGTGTATGGATTGCGATAACAGTTGTATGAGCCCCTAATAAAATGTTTTTAAAAAAATACAGAGATTGTTATCATACAGTGATGTTCACGTCAAAATAAGCAGAATAAAAATGTCTCAAACAGAAATAAGTAAATTATGGTTAACTTCATAGAGTGATTTTCTTTTCTAACATTTCAATACGTAAAAAGCCTGCTTCTCAAAACCAAAACAAAACATAAACAACTTATTGCCTTCAAGTTGGTTCCAACTCATAGCAACCCTATAAGGGAGAACTACCCCTAAGAGTTCCCGAGAGTGTAACTCTTTAAGGGAGTTGAAAGTCTCATCTTTCTACCATGAAGCAACTGGTGGTTTTTGACTGCTGTTAGCAGCCCAAAGGATAACCACTACATTATCAGCTCTGTGAAAACCTGTTTAGGATGCCACATTTGGTGGGAAGGGAAATGAAATATAAAATTATGCATGCAACATGGGCTCAAATAGAAGGAAGCTTCAAAAAGTCTGTGAACAAATGGAATTAAACTTTCCACATTTTGAAGACGCTTTGCATCTTTTTATAAGGAATGAATGAACCAGTAAAGGAGCCACGAAGACTGATGTTATATGCATCACCACATTAAAAGATATACAAATAAATGAATGGACAAGAAATAAGAACAATACTAGCAGCAGTTGAAATAACTTCTGCTGGAAGAAGCACATCAGCCTGTGTGATCACGAGCTGTCAATGGGATCAGGTTATCAGGCATCAAAGGCCCAGAACAAAAAAATGTTATCCATGTGAATGAGGGAATGTGGAATGGAAAACAAAAGCCCATTTGTGGACAACTGGACACTCCCTTACAGAAGGGTCACAAGGAAGAGTCGAGCCGGGTCAAGGTGCAATATAGCACTGATGAAACATACAACTTTCCTTGAGTTCTTTAAAGCTTCCTGCCCCCACTATCATGACCTCAATTCTACCTTACAAATCCAGCTAGACCAGAGCATGCACATGGGTACAGGTTAAGAGCTGGAAACAAACACAGGGAATTCAGGATAGATAAACCCCTCAGGACCAATAATGAGAACAGAGATACCACGAGGATAAGGGGAAGGTGGGGGGAGAAAAAGGGAACCGATCACAATGATCTACATATAACCCATTCCTAGGGGGATAGACAACAGAAACATGGGTGAAGGGACAGCAGTTGGTATAAGACATGGGGGAAAAAATAATAATAAATTATCAAGGGTTCATAAGAGAGGGAGGATGGGGGAGAGGAAAATTAGGAGCCGATATCAAGGACTTATGTAGAAAGAAAATGTTTTGCAAATGATGATGCTCCCCACCCCCACCCCGAAGAATTCACTTCAGAGTACAGCACTGAAGCTATAGTTCAGTGAGAGGGACATGTCTGATCAGAGCACACAGGAGCAAACAAAGGGGGAGGGAGAGAGAGTGGAGCAAATCCTAGCCCACCAAGCCCCAAGGACCATATATATCCCTGCTCACAATAGCCAATGCACACAGAGGACCATAGCGCCGGCCCCACCACGAGACATGACATCCCTCACTGACCCACAGTGCTACGGGGTACAACACCGGAGACAGTGTGGGAATTGTGCCCGATCTGATCCTACCACACCAGGGCGAAACACTAAGGGCATGCAACAAAACAGCAAGGAGAGCAAAGCAATTAAGTCCCAAGGGAGTACCAAAAATAGATTTTGGGGCCAGGGAGTGGCAACCCATCAGACTTGCCTGGAAAATACTCCTAAAGGTCAACAAACTGACCTTGAACTATTTCAAGGTCTTGTCTTTTTGTTGTTGTGTTTTGCTGTCTTGTTTTTATGTTTATTATTGTCTCTGCGTGTGGGATAAACAATCCAGAGGAGAAAACAGGAACGATAGTTGGTGGCTGGGGGTGGGGGGGGACAAAGGAGAGGGGGAGGCAAGGAAAAGGAAGTGGGTGTTAGCAAACCCAGGGACAAGGGAACAAAAAGTGATCTAAAATAGATGGTGAGGAGGGTGCAGAATGCCTGCCAGGGTTTGATCAAGGGCAATGTAACTGAGAGAAATTACCAAAACTCAAATGAAGGCTGAACATGATAGTGTGACAAAAGGAAAGAAAAAGGAAACAGGGAAGAACTCTGAGCCAAACGGGCTGTTATAGAGGTCTAAATACAGGCATGTACATATGTAAATATATTTATATATAACTATAGGGAAATATATCTATGTACATATATTATAAGGTAGCAGACGAACATTGAGCCTCTACTCAAGTACTCCCTCAACACAAGAACACTTTGTTCTAATTATCTGGCATTCCATGATGCTCACCTTCCGGACATGATCGCTGAAGACAATAGGTGCATAAGCAAATGTGGTGAAGAAAGCTGATGATGCCCAGCTGCCAAAAAATATAGTATCTGGGGTATTAAAGGCTTGAAGATAAACAAGCAGCCATCTAGCTGAGAAGCAACAAAATCCACATGGAAGAAGCACACCAGCCTGTGTGATCAGGTATCAGCATCAAAGACCCAGAACAAAAAATCTTATCATTGTGAATGAGGGGAAGTGCGGAGTGGAGACCCAAAGCCCATTTGTAGACAATTGGCTATCCCCTTACAGAAGGGCCACCAGGAAGAGGCGAGACAGTCAGGGTGCAGGTATAGCACCAATGAAACATCCGACTTCCCTCTAGTTCTTTAATGCTTCCTCCACCCCACTATCATGATCCCAATTCTACCTTATAAATCCAGCTAGACTAGAGCATGTACACGGGTACAGATAAGAGCCAGAAACACAGGGAACTCAGGACAGATAAATCCCTCAGGACTGATATTGAGACTATCAATACCAGCAGGGTAAGGGGAAATCAATGACAATGATCTACATATAACCCCCTCCCTAGGGGGATGGACAACAGAAAAGTGGGTGAAGGGAGACATCGATCAGTCTAAGGCAGGGGTCCTCAAACTTTTCAAACAGGGCCAATTCAGTGTCCCTCAGACCCATTGGAGGGCTGGATTATAGTTTAAAAAAAAAAATCTACGAACAAATTCCTATGCATACTACACATATCTTATTTTGAAGTAAAAAACAAACGGGCAAAAACACCTGGTGGGCCATAAAATGTCCTTGGCGGGCCACATGTGGCCCGCAGGCTGCAGTTTGAGGACTCCTGGTGTAAGGCATGACAAAATAATAATTTATAAATTATCAAGGGTGCATGGGGGAGGGGAGCAGAGGAAGGGAGGGGGAGAGTGGAAAAAAGGAAAATGAGCTGATTCCGGGAACCCAAGAGGCAAGCGAATTTTGGGAATGATGAGGGCAACAAATGTATAGATGTGCTTTACACAACTGATCTATGTATTGTGATGAATTGTATGAGCCCCAATAAATTGATTTTAAAAAAAATTATCAAGGGTTCTCAATGAGGAGTTGATACTAAGGGATCAAGTAGAAAGAAAATGTTCTGAAAATGATTATGGCAACAAATGTACAAATGTGCTTGACACAATGGATGTATAGATTTTGATAAGAGTTGGACGAGCCCCCAATAAAATGATTGACATAGTTTACTGTGCCCGCCTGGCCGATAAACAGAAGTGGGATTAACTGAAGGGCAGAAAGATAAACGGCTTGGTGAGCCTCATCTTTCTTGTCTCTCGCTCTTTGATCATGGGACCAGTGTGTGGCTGCCTTGCTTGTTCTGTGCCTCAATTTAAAGGCTA